TTTGTTAGTATTTTTTAAGAATACTGAAGTACGTGTGCTCGTTAAGTGTACATGCTGGTGCTGTATATTTCAAATCTTATTACCCCGTGGAGAGGGTGCCTCCCGTCGGCCATTAGAAAATGCTATTTAATATTCAGTTCACTGAGATGTCTGATAAAGCTTTTTGAAAAAGTCCATATCAGATGCTGTGTCATTTCTTTCATCATACAAATGTCACCTCTTTGTTATTCATGCCTGTCATTCATGCCTCTACAACCTGATGAATTTCTTAAGGCTGCATCTGCTGTGTGTGTGTGTGTGTGTGTGTGTGTGTGTGTGTGTGTGTGTGTGTGTGTGTGTGTGTGGATAGAGATGGAGAATGGAGAAATCAAGAGGCATGCTGGCATGCTTCATCTCTCTGAGATCTGTGGCAATTACCGTAAATCAAATGCATAATCATGGTCCAATGTGTGTCATAAGTCTGTCAATCTTCCCTTTGCAGAGCAATCCCCCAGTCTCTTTGCAGTGTTACTATAGCAACGGTGGTTTACAGGAGCCCACATGTCCTCATGCTGTCTTTTATGTGTACCATCCCACAAGTCATGTTCAGAAAGCTCAAAGAAATCATTACTATCTTTTGCAGAGCTGCCCTGATGCCATTGAAGAGGTGTTTAACTCCAAATTGCACATCATAGGAGGAGTAGGCATTGCCATCGGGGTCATTATGGTGAGCGCGTGATTGGTTTAACTCTTAATGCTATTGTGCTGAATGAGGACAGTCCAGAAATGAGCTCAAAACTTGTAACACTCTTTCTTACAGGTGTTTGGGATGATCTTTAGCATGCTCCTGTGCTGCGCCATCAGGAGGTCCAGGGAGGTGGTGTGACACCCTCTCGAAGTCCTCATTAATGTTGCATGATGTCATTCCTAGAGTCCCACGACTCTCCACTGCCAGTAGAAACACTGCTCGTTAAAGGGGGGGATAAACTAAGCTTAGGCTGGGTGCACATATTTCTGATTGCATTATACGTCAGCCTTATCTGTGCTGCTGATGCTTAGGCCCACTTTCCTGGACTAGATAGCTGTTATGTGGTTATAAGGCCCAATTTTAAAATGGGTGTCATCTGTTATTCAGTGGCAGTGTAGTAAAAAGAAATGTGTACTTTTGTGGTGATTTGACTGAAATTAGTGTATGAACAGCTAATTATCTAAACAAAACATGATACTATTGTATACTGATAACATTTCTATTGCTGTCACTTGGGGTCATCTACTAGCAAGAACATGGTCCAGATATAAAAAAACAAACACAAAAAAGCAAACACTTCTGCACAACACAGCCGCAGCAGTTTTACAGTTCCTTTTTTCATGCAACTTCTTAAGTAAAATTAAGGTGACGAGTAGCCAGCTGAATACCGAGCTGTTAACTTTAACCAGCTTGGTGCTAGAGTAGCATCTTGATTCCTTTATTTTCATGACATTTGATTTGTTCCTGGTCCTTATCCTGATTTGTGTTTGTAAATGTTTTCCTTTTTGTATTTGTAAGATTTCTAATGTTAGCTGTTTATATTTTTACGTGCAGTTTGACGATGCATTTTGCAGTGTTCTCTTCAGTTTACAGAGATTGATTTATATCATATGCACTGTTTCACAGAGACAAAATTTAACAATAAGCGCCAAATAAACTAAAATGTACTGAGTCGACTATGAGTTTACTGTAACAATCATAAAGTTTATTTATAGAGAAAATATAAACAATTCAGTATAGGAAAATAAAACGTGCCAGCAAGGGAGCATTTAAGCATTTAAATAGAGAAATAAGAGTGGACCATAAAATAATATGACCTGCAATTATTCCCAAACACTGTAATAGTAAACAAGTTGGAGAACATTTAACTGCACCTGTTCTTAGGTCACTTGGTAACATTCATAACTACAATGAAAATATAAGAGTCACACTGATTCACTGTTAGACTGAGCCTTACTTACATTTTAGATTTAGCCGCTCACGATACAGCATGCTGCAAGAGTTAGACGTGCGTAGGTGTCTCCATAGGACTGACAACAATGACAGCTACACTCAAGCTTGTTTCCTTTTTCGCAGTAGGAAAAAGAAACAAAAACATTGGGAAAACTCCCTCAGCTTCCCCTTCTTTGATATTGGCAGCTATCAGCTGACTGACTCCCTTAGAACACAAACAAAGACAAGAAGTGTCTTTGTTTCTTAATTGTGCTGTTACAAATATTTTATGGAAAATTTTTGTCTTCAAAACTAATGACACGGTAGTTACGGTAAACAGTATGACTAGTTAATGTCTTTATGACTCACAGTTTCCATCTAAAAAGCGGCGAGTATAGAAGTAAATAGAGTTTGTGTTCCTCTGATTACAGCACAAGGAAGCATGCTATGATTTGGTTGTTGACAGCCGGGTGTTGCCCTTCTAAATGCCTCATTCGTTTTTTGGAGATAACACTGATTATAAAAAAGGACTGTGTTTTGTGAGATGATCTGTATTTAAACCGTTTGTGTAAGGGACAAACTAGCAAGGGAATAGGCCAGGAAAATAGAAAAGGAGAAGAAATTTTAGAGAAAATCTATGAATATGAATATTACTGAGAAAAAAGGCATTAACACATTCTCGCTTGGAAGGTTTGCAACACATAAAAATATTTCACAACTGCACATTCCGTATTACAACAGTGTTTAATGCCTTCTTTTTTACTGCCAGACCTTGCCTTGATTCAGGACAGGATGCTATAGACCACTTTAACATTTTACTGCCACAGAAACTGCAACCAACCACAACATGGTCATAAAACTGAAAATACCATCTGTGTCTTGCAATAAAAATATATTTCGTTGGAACAAAATATACACAGTGGCAAGGTGATTAGCACTGGTTGCCTCACAAAAAGATGTTCCTGAGTTTCCACCACCATGTCGGGGCCTTTCTGTGTGGATTTTGCATGTTCTCCTTGTGTTTGCAGGGGTTCTCTCCAGGTTCTCCGGCTTCCTCCCACAGTCATGCAGTCAAGACATGCAGTTAGTGGGGTTAGGTTAATTGATCATTCTAAACTGTCCATAGGTTTGAATGTAAGTGTGAATGGTTGTCTGTCTCTATGTGTTAGCCCTGCAACAGACTGGCGACCTGTTCAGGGTGTACCCTGCCTCTTGCTCTATGGTAGCTGGGAAAGGCTCCAGTTCCCCCGTGACCCTGACAAGGATAAGTGGAAGAGAATGGACAGATAGTTGGATATATCTTCTGGGTATAGAAAAATCACTGTGCCAAAAATGTATTAAAGTGCTAAGTATTTACTCCATCTTTGACATGAGGGAGCACTGAGAGAAAATATGTTTATGGCTTTTATCTTAACTAAGACACAATCTCAGTCCTCGCCTTCATCCTCTGTACCCTCCCAGGAAGTCCTGGTGAGTCTACACGACTGTGTGTGTAAAGCAGTGTGTGTAGGCAGGACAGCGTCCACCTTAAGGAGACTTGCGACACACTGCAATACAGCAAGAAGTAGCTGGTATTTACAGGAGACAGATTCAAGGCCCAGATCCAACTCTGAAACTTTTGACAATTTGTCACCCTCTCTACAACAATGCAAGCTTAGTTCACCATCCCCCAGAGGCCCTTCGACCTGTATAGGGCTTATAGTATTTTCTCGTTTATATACAAGGCTAAAAGGGTGGGAATCATTTGGAAACTTACTAACAAAACTTATGACCCTTCTTTGAGACTCCAGGAAATGGTGCGGACTGTGAGAGTAAATCTTTTGAGGCACGCTCAGTAGGGCATTTGCCAAGAGCTGGGAAACAGAAGCATCTATATTTAGGTCAGGAGAAACTGAGCAACTATGTCCATGTTGTAGGAGGGCATAGTGTAAGAGAAGCTCAAATAACCCACCAGCAGATAAAACACAGCCTGGCTTTAACACACACTTTTGAATGGGCTGTATAGCGATGGATCTGTATGTGGTTTGCTCGGTCAGACTGTCTGTATGTAAAGATGCGCCTTTATGCGACTGCAGGGTACTCTTTGATGTTGTGGTTGCAGCTGCATGCATGGGCTCCCAAGTTCTAAGTAGCATGCGAATGGCATCTTGTAAAGCACATGCATACTGCTCAATCTGTCCTTCCCCTGGGGCACAGATGATCAAACTGCAGGGTTTGATGGTGATTCTTTCTTCCGAGTCCTGGAAAGCCACATGGACATACCTGTGGAAGAGACAAAACCCATACATTAAACTAAACAAAACAGCATTAACTCCTGTTTTGGAGATTACAGATAATGATAAACTTCCTGTTGCTATCTATAACATTATACGAGCACACTACATTACTCAAGACGAAGTGTGTTTTTTATACCTGTGGGCTCCGAGCTGTATCGGCCGGCAAAAAGCCAGTGTGGCTACGTGCTCTGATTCAATCATCGAACAGTCCCAGATTGGAGTAGTTCCACTTAGCTGGGAAAACAGAGAAAGTTCATCTTCACTGACACATTCTACAAGGCACATCTCTGCCTGTGTGGCTAAAGCCAGGACAGCAGCAGACTGTTTTACTGCAGACAGAAGCACACAAACACCCAAAGTCTGCAGCTTCGCAATAATACCCTGCAGTGAGCTTTCCATCCAGGAGCTAAAGTGTAAAATACTTCTCTCCTCCTTCATTCTGCCTCTACATCCCAACTCAAGCACGTCTCCTGTGCTGAGCAATGTTGGTTGCAGCGACCCGGTGAGAACTACAGCTTTAACTGGCTGGTGGTCAGTCTTAAGCGGTGGCGTGGCAAAGTCCCTGTGGATTACCTGCCCCTCGATTAAACGTGAAGAGCGGACAGGAAAGCCCGACACAGGTGTATGGAGGGCAGGGAAGTAGTCGCTTACAAGCTGCAGAGAGAATGAAGGTAGTTGATTTTTAAACTTCCAGTGACTGAGCAGCTCACATGTGAGGTGACTACTGAAGTCACAGTGCGTGTAACCACAGCGTGTGTGAAAAAATGATCTTAGCAGCTTTTGAACACAGAGATTGTTTGTGAGAGATGGCGTTTGTGCTTCCACAGTGAAATCTTCCCACGAAATGCAGCCTCCATAAGGGACCACTCCCGTAGCAATGAGCTCATCCAACTCCTTCAACCCAAATGCTAGCAGTTTGTCAGCCAAGTGTCTGGCAGTGGAAGCCTCTGCTGCTTTTGTTGAGCTATAAGAGTGTGACACATTAGACTCCTTGCTGGCTGCTGCATGAATCAACCGTAGCAATGATGCCAGCAGCAGGATAAAGGTTTTGGATCCATCGCCTGTTGCAGAGCTATGCTTCCAGACACACTCCACCACCATCCTAAAATGAGGAACACACAAACACGTCACCAAGGAGTTAAACCTAGAAAAATATGTATAATCATTCAAGTAAATGTTTGACTGTTAACCTGGCCAACGGATGCTCCAGATGTAGTGCCGTGAGAATGCGTGTCCCACTGCGGCTCAACATCGCCTGTCCCGTGTCTCGTGTGAACAGCACCTGTCCTCCTTCAGGGCCAAAACTGCGAAGGATGACCGCCTCCAAGACACCGACTGCCTGCAGGACATGTTCCATGTGTAAGTGCCCCAATGGCGGCATCCTTTCTCCCAGGAATGAGCACAGACTGAAATTTTAAAAAGTCAGAATTTAAACTGCGACCTGCAATAAATAAATACATAATATATACAAACCCAGTATTCTTATTCTTTAAAACATGAACCCTCCTAATTAAAACACTATTTGGATTTACACACAACATACTGGCTCGCTGTAAAGCAGTATTTAAACATTAGTGTTGCATGCAGTGTAGGAAAGGTGTCATGATAAATCTACCATGGCCGCCTGTGCTTGGCAGACACTTAAAAGCCTTTCAGAGGATATAGAGACAATTAACTAGACAGGTCTCGACTGCCTAATCAGATATATGGTTGGTAGACTTGGGATGGCTGGCGGGCCATGATTTAATTAAGGGATCTAGGACTTCATGTGTTGGAAGTTGACCTGACTGCTTAGAGAAGCAATAAGAGGGCATAACTGTAGACACTATTAGATCCTACCTAAGTGAGAAAGCAGTAATGATGATGAAGAATGTTAACAATATCTGACTCAGAGGCGTGGCTGCTTGTCTTTTTTCATATATGTGGAAACAGGAGCCACACTGGGATAGAGTGGGTTCAAAGGAAATCGAGGTTTGACTTTGACTTTGACATGTAATGACAAAAACCAAAAGTAGTGCAGTTGAGGGTTTGGAGACGGCATTTCAAAGGAAATCCAAATCCAGCTTTTCTGAGGAACACAGAAATCTTGGCAATGTGATAGATCCTTATAAGCAAAGTAAGAAAATCAAATCTATGATAAATTATGTAGGTTAGAGAGTAGAGAAATATTATTTTGGTTTACAGATCTATTGGTTTCCACACTAGAAAACTGTTTACCCAAAAGCTATTGAACCATACTGTATTGAACAATATCTATAACAACAATGCTTAGTGAATATTTTTCCGTTAAACAACATTAATTATTAAAGCATGGCAATAAATATATAGTATGCAAACCATGTTTGTTTGGTTTTTTCTCGGAGAGAAACCGTTTACTTAATGAAACAGAGATTATAGTTTAACAAATGGGCAGAAATAACAGGAGAATGCTCAGATCTTTGTCAAATAAGTAGAACAGACCCACTGCCTGCAGTGTACAGCAGGGGACTCATTTATATGTGTCACACACGTCATTTGAACGGTACGTAACACTGAACCAGGAAAAGCTGTGCAGTAGAAAAATAAAAATTAGGTCCAAGAGGAATTTACCTAATAAATCAAATCTGACGCACACAAATCTCTATCTCGTTAGAAATGTCGATATATGACTTGTATTATTATGTATTTTCAGTGGCTTTTATGTATTTTATGCATTGTAATCTAAATGTTGACACTGTGGGCCATCAATATCGTGAAAATAAGCAGAAGAGTTCTTCTCCCTGATTAATCATAAACGTCTCGACTCTTACCCCCCCCCGGACCTCCACTGCAGCGCACTTCCAGAGTCTCGAGACGAGGCAGGCATACTTACTTCTAGACACGACTTATGATGGATATCGGATTTAGGGATATTATAGGGAAATTGTTAATTTCTGGAAGACGAAAACGTCCACGAGGTGCACTTGCTCAAAAGCCTAGCACAGTTAGCTTTACCGATTGGGGCGGACTATATTCAGTTCTGCTCTATGAAATGTAATCGTCGGAGACTCTTTTTTTTAACTACTGTTCTTTATCTGCCAAGACCATAAAAACCACAAATAAGAGTTTCTTAGCACGAATCGACAACCTTACTGTAGCTTTAACTACAGTATACGGCAACCGGTATCATAGTTACTATGGTTACTATGCTAGCTACGTTAGCCAAATAGCTAGACTTAGAAAACCATTGAAACCACCGGCGGTTTCCGCCAGCCTATTTCATTTAAAAAATCCGGGTGTGTTTTAGAATATCTTGAAATATACCTTCTCTGATTTCTAAAAAAAATAAAACGTGGCTTGATTTTTCAGGACTTTGCTCACCGTTAGTTAGAAAGGATCGCTCGCCTCTGTGCTTCTTCTTTGGTTGAGGTACCTTGGATTAGAAATCGCTGCTTCCACCTAGTGTATCCAGCCAAAAATGATCACAGCTACACGACATTTGTTGATCTCTTTCCAATGGTTTGCAATTTAATATACATTTAGGAAATACTGCCGGATAAGTATACCAGATATACTTAGTTGAGTTCTTTCCCCGCCACCACGCCACAAAATACAATAACGAAATAACAACAAAAAGACTTTAGTTCATATCAAAGTTATATTTATTTTATCTATCTTAAGGCTTTCCAGGCTGTTCTCGCTCCTGTCGTTAGCTGA